GCACGGAGCGGGCCCGGCCTCGGACCGTGCGGCTCGGTGCCGGGCCTGGGCTTGGGCCTGGGGTGCCGCCGGGAGCAGGGCCGCGCCCCCCTCGACCTTGACGCCATCCCCCTCGGGCGCGGCCGTCTGGGCTCGCGCTGCCCACACGCCACAAGGCCGCCTCCCCGTCCGGCCCGCCCGATCCACGCGATCGCCACCCGTCCGCCCCGCGCTCACCTTGGACATCCACGCGGGTCCCGCCATCGCGTCCCTCTCACCGCGGCGACAGCGCTGCCGGAGTGCGCAGCCGCGCAGCCCGCGCGGGGCCACGCCCCCAAGAAGCCCCGCTCCGGAGCCCGCCCACTGGGACAGGCGCCGCCTCCGCTGGCCAATCGCCGGGCTCGTCTCCCGGTGACGTACTCAGCCACGACCCGGAAGCTGCAGGTTCGGATCTCCCCCGCGGACTGCCCCGGCTCCTCCTCCATTCATTGACCCACCGTTTAGATAGGACCCTGACTGCGCGCATCCTACATGCGAGGCGCTTGTTATTGACTGCCTTTTTTATTGCGGCCGTCGTAGAGGGGGTGAAGTGGTGTCTCCTTTCGGTTTCGATTTTCATTTTCCTGAAGGCTACTGTCTTGACCACTCCATTTTAAATGGCAATCCCTCCTCCCTAAGGTCTATCTCCCTTCCCTGCTTTATTTTTCCGTAGCATTTATCTCACCTCCTGACATACTATGCATATTTCACTTGTTGATTTCCTGTTTGTCTCCTCTCCCCGGGGATAAATTCCAGGAGGACAGGATTTTTGTTGTGGTATGTTCTCGATGCCTATAGAAGCCTATAGAAGCGGTAACTACATGTCCCCCTGCCCTAGACAGGGCCCAGTATAAATCTACTCATTACCGGCTGCGTAACCTTGGGCGAGTCACCTTCTCTGAGGTTATTTCTTCATCTGTGAATGGGATAATGACACCAAATCAACAGACTTAAGAGACGTTCATGGAATAACCATATTCAGTAAATGGGCACAGTGCAGGGAATCGACGTTTCCGTGCACCCCCTCCGTCCACCCTCCCTGCAAACAAACACACACGCTGTCCTCAGGGCCCACATCCAACATCTGGGAGCCGGGGAGGCACGTGATTTGGGATCGGAGGATGAGGCTGAGCCTTGCTTTGCCACTTTCCAGCTGGGCGGCACTAGGCAAGTCACTCTGCCTGAGCCCAGGGCTTCTAATCTGTAGCGTGGGAACTGTACCTTTTGACCTTCCTCACAGCATCGTGGTAATAGTTGGGGAGAGAGGGCCTCGTTCAGGACACTGGCAATAGCCATCAGAAAGGATTTGTTACAGGAGTTTTCTAGTCAGGTGGGTGCTTCTATTTGTCACCTATGGGAGGAGGGGACTCCGGGGACTGAAAACATCCTCTGCAGAGATTCTGGCTTCTCTGCCCGGAGCGGCTGGAACGCCAGTGCACAGGGATGAGCGATCGTGAGGGGGTGTGGCAGCACAGCATCTGAACGCTGGCCGTGCATGAGCATGCGGGATCTAAGATGGGAAGAGGGAGAACTTTTGTGACAGTGACTGTGAGGTTTGGAAAGGCTTCAGTTTCCCCAACTCTAATATGGGAGAAAGGGGAAATGCAGATGGGGACAGTCTTACGAAAGCCCGTTTCTGCTCTAAAATTCCACATTCTCTTAATTTCTGTTCACATATCCTGACTTCTTTCCCACGGCTGAGGCCCCTGTTCCACAAGGCCTGTATAAACGAGGGATGGGTAGCCGGCCTGAGTCTCCGGGGCCGGGGCGGCAGCGTCCACACCACCTGTGAACTTGTAGATGCCCACATTCTTGGCCACCCCAGACCTAGTAAATCCAGAAACTAGAGGTGGAGCCTCCCGAGTGGTGAAGGCGACAAACCACCTACCTGTTTTAAAACATAAAGTCCCGGCCTCCTCTTCGGTCCGGAATGGTGGGGGCTGACAAGTGCCTGGGGCCAGCCGGGTTCTGCCGCTTCCCAGCTGTGGGCCCCCAGGCAAGTCGCTGCACCACCGCAGCCTCAGTGACCTCATCTGTGAGATGGAGATACGCCTGTAGAATTGGCTGTCCTTGGGTTGGAAATAACACATGTGCGCTGGACCTCTTGGCGATTACATTTGCTTAAAAGCCTTAGAAAAGATCCCGGCCTTTGTCACAGTCTCTGGGCACAGTAAGTCCTTTAAATCATCTGAAGTTTCCCGTCTGCGTCCAAGGACTCAAAGCCTAGGCGAGCAAACCCTGT